AGAGCACCTAGAATAAAGGTTATTTAAAGATGGATATGATGGACCAGTCTTCATCCTACTGGATGTAGAAGTCAGAAGAGAAAGAAAGAGCCTATAGCCACCATGACAGAAGCTCTTCATTCCTAAAGGAGTTAGCTGACAAGATGATACCCACCTTTGTAAAGCCACTAGAGAAGGGAAAGGAGAGGGATATAGGAGCCAAAGGTACCCTTCTGTCCCCTGAAGGATGACTGGCACATTGAGAAAAAAAATTTGAGTATCAAAATTCCAGCTCATCTCATCAATGAAGAAGTGTTTTAGACCAAGAGAGGGGCTTAACTCAGTTCCATATCAAAAGATGGATGGGTGGGTGGGAAGATGAATGGGAATTGCTCTTCTCCACTTACTGCAAAGAACCTGAACTGGAGAGCAGAAGTGGTCCAGCTGACAGGGCTGAGACTGTCATTTAGGGTTAGAGAGAGGCCCTGGGCTGACAAGCAGGGCCCAGAAGTATTCATTAATGAATTTGAAAATGATCCATGCCTACTTTGAAGTAGGATTCCCTAACATATAAAATTGAGCTTTTCATTTCATACTGGCACTATCAAGAGTATCCTCCGTTTTTAGGGCATGTAAATTAAATATTGTGGGAAAAGTGGGCCTCTTGTAAGCAATGTATGGTCATAGAGGATATGGTCTCTACAGGGATAGTAGAAATAAACTTCAGTATTAGAACTAAGAGACGGAGTTTTACTTTGTCATAGCCTCTATTGGGCCACATTGTCCCCACAAGAGGACATGGAATCTAACTGGACAGTGGTAGGGTGGGTGTATTGTGTAGGACATTTTACCTGAGCATCATGAGTGCCCTGGGACCTGCCAACCAAGACATTCCCACAGAAAGCCTACAGACAGAAGGTTTTTCCCTCATGCCTGGCTGATTTCTAGACTTTTCTGAGAGTACTGGCTGTTGGATCAGCACAGCTGCTTACACATCAGCAAACTTTCTTCCACACCCTGGCACCACTGGTGTGACCTGCCTTTTGGACAAGCATGACTGAATGTGAACAACACCTCAATTGCTAGAAGGTGCCTTTGCCCTGACAGGTGGGGCACACTGAGACTGCCTTGCCATCCCTTTACCCCTCACCCCTCTTCTACTCTGTCTTCATGCTCCAGCCCCCTTTTGGTTGCTCAGAACATAACAAAACAAGCATCACTCACAGCTTTCCACCATAAACTCCTTTCCTAGGTGTTTGTTTCTAAAACAGACATGTCTTTCCAAAGGCATGCTTTTCTTTGGTCAGAGCTGTGAGGGTATCATCATAAGGCATTGTTGGGCAAGAAAACCTAGCATCAGGTAGATGAGGACGTATAACCAGGTTGCTAGAACCTGTTTGAACCAGTTGCCTTCAGTTTGACAGTATAGAGTTCACGGTGTACAGTCCTGTGTACTAATGGATGACCTTTCTTATAGTGCAGTTTTCCCAGAGTATCAAATAATTCAGCTCCTCCATTAATACACCTATGAGGAAATTAAGACTGAAAAGTTAACAAATACTGGAAATTTCTAGATAACTCCTAAGCACAACTCTTCAAATATAAATTAAATATGAGAGGGCTTAAAGAATGCCACTTAACTGGATAGTCCTTAGTTTGGGTCCCATTTAAAACTATTCAGAGTTTCCTAGAGGATTTTTGCCCTCAAAAGAATTTTAATAATGAAATTTTAAGAATGTTAAATTTCCCAACTTTCTTTGTTAGGAATTTATGCCTGGTATATTGGAAGATGGATCTGAGTAAGGTTTGATATTTGTATCTGAAAACTGTCCACATCCTGGTCAGATATTTAACTAAATCTGAAAGCAGTATAAAGGGCTAACCAACTTGAGTAGGCTCCATCAGCCCCTAGGGTGCCACAGAACCCCTGCTTTGACCTACCTTCCTCCTTGTCTGCCTTTAGCAGTCCTGTAGTTCAAGGACAAACCCAGGTCTTAGGATTAGAATGAAGGAAGGCTCCAAAGTCCTTAATTGAGATTACAGGTGGGTCATATTCTGTGTCTGACCTCTGCCCCTTGCCCTCTTTTGTCTCCTGTTGGAATTTGACCTGAGTCTAATAGTTGCTATTCTACATTGGGCCACAAGAAACCACCAAGGAGCTGCTCATGGGTAGGCTTTGGTCCTAAGATTCCACTCAGTGATCCAGAGCAGAGTCAAATGACTGGTGTAGGCATATTGTAGTGCATTCTGCCTGGAAGGCTGTGGACTGCCTGCACCTGAACTGCTGCATTTATAAAATGGTGGGCATAATGTAGACATAGTCATCTGTATGAATTTCTCATGAGACCCTCACTAAGTGCCAGTTCAGACATTCTTCTTCCATATTTGTGAAAAGTTTCCCTCATAAATCCCAAGGACAGTAATACACAATTGTTTTGTATTTCTCTGTGTGTTATTATCACATGATTGATGATATGTAGTCTGAAATGCATCCGTGTTTACAGCTATCATCACATTATTCTTAAAATTAATTTTAAGTTACTGCAAGACTAGGTTGATGCTCACTTATAGCCCTTACAATTATACTTTTTCAAATCCTAGGTGCTTTTTTAGAAATTAACATTTCTAAAATTGGGGTGAACCATGCCAGAAATGTCAAAAAGAAATTTGCCAACTTGCCCTTTTTTGGGGGGGGGGGTGTCTTTTTGAGACAGGGTCTCCCTGTAGCCCCAATTGGCCTGGAACTCGCTATATAGACTAGACTAGCCTCAAATTTACAGAGATATACCTGCCTCTGCCTCCCAAGTGCTAGGATTAAAGGCCCGTGCCACCATGCCCTGCCCAACTTGCCTTTTTTACCTTAAATGTTCTTGGAGCTGGAGAGATGATTCAGGGGTTAAAAGTGTTGGTTGCTCTTGCAGATGGACCTGGGTTTTGTTCCCAGCACCCATATAGCTAACCATGATCTGTAACTCCAGTTCTTCAATTTGAGGGGATCCAGTGCCCTCTTCTGGTATGCCTGGATGCACCTATGTACATACAGGCAAAGACTCATACGCATAAAAATAAAAAACAAAGAAAAAGATTATCTCCTTGAATCATAGTTACTTTGCACTTTTAATAAAACTATTTGTGCCTAATAACTTTCTCATGGCTTTAGGTTGCCAAGAATTAAATAATAAAGCATTCTTCCCTAATAATCTAAGGGACTGTGTGGTTGTAGGCTTGTTGTCTGTGATTCTTGTCCATTTTCTTACACTAGATCTTTCTGATTCCCACTAAGAGAACAGAGGTTTGGCTTGAGCCTCCTTTCCTGAAGTCTCTGTTCTCTGTTCTCAAAGGTCAGGCCACATCTTTAGCAGTTGCAGCTGGCAGATGGCTGTGGGGTGGCACTATTTTGTCAGAAATAGAGTCTAGACAGGTTCTAATTCTAGAGTATAACTATGGGGAAGAATGAGCTCCTGTGACAATCTGTAGTATCACATATCCTCGTACTTAAGACTCCCCTTGGTATGGGACAGGAATTAGTAGGAAGCACAGCATCCTGACCACCTCAGATCTTTGACTTGATCAACCTCAACGTGTTGCTTGCTCCTGGTTCACAAACGTCGTGGCCCTTTTATCCTCAGTCTGTCTTCTTTAAAACATGAGCTAAGCTGCTTTCCAGAGTATGAGAATACAGTGCATGAGAATTTGCTGTCTTTTCCCACTCCTAAGAACTTGGAGCTGGTAGAGGCATGTCCTCCCAGCTATTGAGACAGAAGCAGAAGGATCACAAATTCAAGGACTGCTTAGACTACAGAATGAGTTCAAGGCCAGCCAGAGACAGTGAGTCCCTGTCCATTGTAGAGCATTTGCCTAGCATGCACAACACCCTAGGTTTAACCCCAGTACTTAGAAATAAACTACAAAAACAACTTCTTGGGATTTGGGAATATAGCTCAGAGGTTGAGTATTCACCTAGTATCCACAAAACCACAGGTTTCATTCCCCACCCATGGGAGGGTGGTGAGACCCTGTTTCAAAACAACAACAGCAAAAATAGTTATTTGTGAAAAGCTGCACTGTATTCCTACATCTGGCACAGTGGGGGGTTGGCAATGATGGTCATGATCATGATGATCATTAGCAAAATGGAATCTTTCTATTTTGTAAAATAAGAAAATTGAGACTATCGATAATACTATTATTTCCTTTATGTATTAAGGCCTTTTCTAGGGTTGTTGCTTTTAAAGTTGATAAAATCATTCCTTAGTCTCCCTTTTTGAAACCAGAACTTGCATATTTGAATTGCTTTCTTGTATGTGTATGCTTGTCCTGTGGATATCCACATCGCAACATGTATATCATTCATTGCACTGTCCAGATGCTTCCGTGATCTATAAATCCATCTAGTACCATGAACAGTGTGGAAAAGGTTTCAGGTCTTAAGCATCTAAATACCTTCTCTGTCATTACACCTCAGATTTGACAGGTAGACAAGAATGGGGACCAGTACAGAATTAGGACTTGGAATATGATCTAGTGAAATGATTTAAGAACCTGGCAATTCTTTATTCTGTAGAATCACGTGTCCTAAAATAGTACTTTTTATCCAAGTAGAATAGGTCACCTAGTAGTTCGTTTCCTTCTTATTAGTGTCAGTCAAGTTTATGAATGTCTTCCAACAAAAAGCAAGATGTTGAGCAACACTTCTGGATATCTCTTGCAAGAGCCTGACGAAGAGATTCAAGGAGATTACAAAGCTTTAAAAAGACCGAAGACACTATATAAATTATGCTCCATGTCTCTTCACTAATAAAAGTTCAGGGATGTGATGGCATTCAGTGACAGAGCACTTGCCTAGTATGTATGAAGCACTGGGTTCCAACCCCAGCACTTGAAAATGATGATGATGGTAATTGATGATATAAAATATAAGTACCAATCAATGCCTATATATATAAAATCTAAGATACAAATGTTAACTGTAGTTTTTGTTGTGGTTGTCAAATCACATTTTCTGTGTGTATTCCTTCCAGGCATATGAAGATTCATGAGAAGGACCCCAACAGTGCTACAGCTGCAGCCCCTCCATCCCCACTGAAGCGTAGGCGATTATCCTCAAAAAGGAAACTGAGTCATGATGCCGAGTCAGAGAGAGAAGACCCAGCACCAGCTAAAAAGGTCCTCTGGGTTTCTGGCATAAACATGCTTCACCATGTGGCTTTTGGCAGAAATACCTCTAATCTTTATTATCACAGTATGGGGACTTGGCAGACATCCATGCTGAGCTCTTTAACCTGTGTTTTCCCACACTGTTTTTGTAAAGTATCTGAGAAAAGAGCACCTGTGTGCACTTTCTCTTTAGTGACCATCATATAGTCCATGGATGAAATGAAGAGTTTCCAAAGTTCCATGCTTTTTACACTGTCTGTCTAGCTAAAGTGGAAGCTTCGTCAGCCTTAGGGACTCTTTTGTCCTTGCTTTTATACATAATGTCTGACAGATACTAGATGATCTTTAAATACTTGTTGGGTAGATAAGAGGACCAAGGAATGGGTGGAGGGAATGATTGGATGAATGCAAAGTGATAGTGTTCAATGAATATTGTAAGTGGATGGATGGGTGGGTGGGTCATCAGCCACTCCTTAGTACAAGGTGAAGAACAGATCTGTTTTAGTCAAACTTTCTAGATTAATGTGAGTTTCTCTTCCAAAGCAAACTTTTGTGCTGGAAGACAACCTTTATGATGCCACTTTTTGCCTTTTCCCTAAGATGGTAGAAGATGGGCAGTCAGGTGATTTGGAGAAGATGACTGATGAAGTTTTTCACTGCCCTGTATGTTTCAAGGAGTTTGTTTGCAAGTATGGACTGGAGACCCACATGGAGACCCATTCAGATAACCCATTAAGGTAGGGAAGTGTTAACTAGACTAGTGATCTGGGAAACTGTTACTATTTCTTCTGGCGTATGTCTTTCTTATTTCTTGTTACTCCAAACTGGGCTCCAGCAACTGAACTTATTTACATGGACAATGGTAAGGCAGTTAAGAAACACATAAGGTATGGAGAACAGGCTGAGCTGATAATTGTAAGAAAGGGTGACTGTAACCAGTGTTCATTTTGCTCCTTTGCTTTTAGACCCCTTGAGTAATATGGTGTTGGGGATCCTCCTGTCACAGGGCACTTCTATGTAAGAGACCTATTTTCTTTGCAAAAGGTGTTGCAACCCAAATGATTATTAACTGTAAGTGGGTAAGTAGTCTGGACAGGCCATGTGTTTCATGCCACCAATATGGCATTGACATATTAGGTCCTCAGAAATGTTTACATTGAACTGGACCCATAGCACAGAAACCTAAGAAAGCACTGTAGGTAGAGTTCTGAGTGCAAGAAGCAAAGCCTGTTACATAAAGGGGGTAAATGTTTGTTCTGCTGGTCAGGTGTCTGTGTTGGGTCTTTGGCTCTTGTGTTTCTGATCCTCAGCTTCAACAGGCCAAAAATATGGATGGAGATTTGATTGTCCAGCAGTATTGGGGAAGGGATACTCCTGTGTTTTTTTCTACCTTCTCTGGTAACTTTCATCAGGCAAAAAAATAATCCTGTTTTGGGTGAACAAATGGGCTTAGAAATTTTTCACATTTAAAAATAAATGTTACTGCCATCTATTTTAAGCATTGAAAAGTGCCAAGAGCTACATAGGAGCCTCTGCTCGTACATACAGCTGAAGATTCATCTATGGGCAAAGAGCACTGTGTTGTCACAGCTTTGAGTTTTAGAAGGCAGCTTGGGAGTACAGGAATTTGGGCATCTGTTGGCCTGAATCCCTTATATAAAGACCAGATTTCCTTCATGGGGACATATGGTTAGTACTTAGAGGAATGAAAAGACTTGAGCAAGCTAAAGAGTGTTGTAGGGGGAGGTCTAATTGTGCTGTAACTGGAGACTAGGTCATATGTCTGTTATCTTTACATTAGCTTGACAGTTTCATGTTGGAGGGGAAGAAAGAACTTTTAGAGAGTTAAACTGCCAAGAAATGAGGTACTATGAGATGTGTGTATGGAACCTTCCCAGTCTCAAGAAATTGGCCAATTGACTGGCAGGTGTCCAGGGCAATTCTCACCTTCATTCTTTCTGAGGAGAAAAGGTCCTGAGCCAGGAAGATCCAGGAATGGGCTAACTGTCAGATCCCCAGGCCTGCCTCTACTCACATATGACTCCTGTCAGCCACATCTCCTGTTTCCTCCTCCTTAAAATCAAAGTAGGGGCTAGATCAGTAATCCCTGTGTTCTCTTCCAGTCTTCCGTAATTCTAAAATCTGTCTCTTAACTGCTCTGTCTACTAAGGCTGTGCTTGTCGATGACCTCTGGTTCTGAGAAATTCAGGAACTTGACCTCATGGTTTCATTACCCACAGCATCTCCAGAATATGGGGTTATAGTGGGTAGTGAGTGTTGAAGTAGTTTTCTAGAATCTGATCGTGAAGATGAGGATATTACACAAGCTTCACAAGGAAGCTGTGCTGAGCTAGGAATAGCACATAGGACCCTAGCTTCTCCTGTTGGGCATTTCTGTCAGGCAATCATGAGTTCGCTGTTCCTTTGTATATTTTATCTCACTTCATTGTTTGTTTTTTTTTTTTAATTTGTGACAGGGTCTCTCTGTAGCTCCAACTGGCCTTGAACTTGCTATATAGACCAGGGTGACCTTGAACTCACAGAAATTTGCCTGTCTCTGCCTCCCACGTGCTGGGATTAAAGGCATGCGCCACCATGCCTGGCCATTGTTTTTTATTTTTATGTGTATGAGTATATTGCTTTCATGCATGTAAGTGCACCTGTGTCATGCAGTGCCCACTGAGGTCTGAAGAGGGCATTGGATCCCCTATAACTGGCGTTATAGTTGGTTGATAGCCACCATGTAGGTTCTGGGAATTGAACCTAGGTCCTCTGCAAGAGCAGCCAGTGCTCTTAGCCACCAAGCTATCTCTCCAGCCCCCTTACTTCATATTTTATTTTGTGGCCATATACTATCTTCCAAACTACCCACTTTCACCTTTAGGTAATTCCATTGTATAAGAAAGTAACGTGGCTCTCACAAGCAGTTTCTGGACTGCCTAGTCTATTCAACATGGCGTGTAGTAGTGATGCGGAAGATCAAGTATCCCTTTCTGAAATGATGGTCTGGGTGAGGGTATAGGTTTCCTGGAATAGCCATCTGGATCAGGACCCTTCCTCCTCAAAACAAGTGGAGGTAGAAATTATACTGGACAGTGGTCATCAGCCCATGGGTGGGACAAGCTTGGCCATGGTACACATTTAGACTGTAAGATTGAACCTCCAGAGTCCTGTCCTGTTAACCAAGCAGAGTTCCTCACCTACTTAATGTTTGGTGAGGGGTTTACTGAAGTAGTTTCTTAGCCTTAGGTGGACTCAGCTCTTTCAGACAGCCTTTCATCCCACTAATCCCATAGCAGCTAGCTTTAGGGGTGGCTCTAAGAAGGGGTGGTTTGGTATCTTTTGTGTGGTCTGAACAGATCAGCCCCTGCCTAGTGGCTCTATCTAGTAACTATTGCTAGGCAGGGTGGGGCTGGCTTTTGGAAACCAAATGGAGTTGATTATAGAACATAGCTAATTCCCTTTTTCTCCTCTCTGCTCTGTTTCCACATAATAGCCTGCTATTGGAGGAGGCCTTGGGGGCAGGCATGAGCCAGTGGGACCCTAGTCAGCTTGTACATTGTGACAGTAGCTGATGGGAGAGACTGCTTGTTAAACCAGAACTAAAATAGACACCAACCCCATTTTCAAACCCCAACAACAGCAGAGCCACAGCGGGATGCTACCAGTCTAGAATGAAAGTCTGTAACTTAAAACAGCTGTTGGTTTCTTTCTTCTGCCCTTGCCCCTCATCCCTTCCACCAAAGTTGGCAAGGTGCCCATTGTTCCTTAATAAAGTGTTAGCAATCTGAACTTGTATAAACACTGTCTCTTTCCCTGTGTTTCAAATTAATGAAATGCTGGCATTGAACAAAAGGAAGACACAAAGCCACCGGTAAAGACTCTAACTCTTAGGGTCAGATATTGCCTGTGACCCCTTCTATACAGCTCCTGGACAAGGGGTAAGAGGATAGGGAATAAAACCATGTAGAGTGTACTGGGCAATGGCATTTGGAACTGAAGGTGAGGTACAGTGTGCAGAAAGCAGGTTGATGTGAAGGGGGAATGTTGCTGAGCACTGAATGTCTTGCTCTGTTGTTAGAACAGAGCAATAGACTGCACTGCTGAGAATGTAGTGAGCTGGAGAAATGTAGGCTAGTGCCATCCAGCAGTGGACTATGACCCACTTGTATCCTTTGAAACTTTCTAGTAGCCACATTTTAAAACTGAAAAGTAGTACAGCATGCTTAGCATGTGTAAAGCCTTAGATTCAATCTGTACCTGCCTTAAAATAGGAAGAAAAAGAATTACAGTTAATAATGCTATAGCTGATAATACCCACAAGTCAAAATAGAGTATCTCATATATTCTATACATATGGTCAGTATAAAACTTACTAGTCGCACATTTCACTTTCTTGCTTTGTTATGCTTAAATATTTGATACCTGTTCTCATTGTGCAGTCATAGCCCTTCTTGATGAAAACCAGCCACATGCCAAGTGCCTAGCAGCCAACAGAACAGGTTTAAGACAAGCCAGGAGACAGTGAAGACTGGTGTCATGAATGAATGATTCTTCCCCTAGGGTGGGCTGTGTAGCTGGATCATCACCATGTTGATGAAACAGCTGCTAAAAGCAAAACTTGGCCCAAGTTATTGTATAATCTTACGTGGCTTCTTGATTGAAGATCGGGTAATAAGTAATTTAACATTTATTCAGTTAAAATGTACCCAGCGAATGATTGAGTCCTCATTGTGATAGTGCCAGGCCTTTGACCAGGCTTGGGAAAAACAGGGATGTTTGAGGGGGAGCCATGGGCCAGTCAGAAAACAAGGAGGCAAGTGCAGGGCCAAGAAAGACAGACAGTGGCTAAGGGCTTTCGATCTGACACTGATGTGTGGCACTTCATTGCATTCTTGCTGGATTATGACCATCATTCTAGTCACATTATTGATCTTGAGGTGATCCTAAGTTTAAAACTGCCTGTCCTCAGATCAGTGTCAGAAACTAATGTATGGGAAACTAGAGGGGTCTCAGGTAAGCCTCCATGGCTCTGAGGGAAAGTTGAGCACTGCCCCAACCAGAACACAGTGAGGGCCAGCCACCCCTTTGCCATGCATCCTGGCTATGGGGCCACTTGGTGTGGGACATACCTGGACCATCTCTCTGCATTCTTGACTGTTCCAAAAAATATTCTCCTTTCATGACACACCCGCCACCTCCCTCAGACTCTGGATGTGGCATTGACCCCATATTCTAAACATCCTAAACACAGCAAAGGTGAACAGAGTATCTCAGAGTCTTGTGTTTAAGACTCCAGGGGTCCAAGGACCAAACAAATGGAAACACTTTTAAGACGATGCTGAGAGCAGGAGGTGGAACGCAGAGGCCTGTGAGGGGAGGGTATCTCCCAGGCCTTCCAGTTGAAGGCACCTTAGTCTCACCTTTCGCACACTTCACCTCACCCAAAGGGGTTCACCTGGCTTCTAGACCCACACTACACCTGTCCTTTGTGAAGCCCCTCAGATTACCCAGTGCTTCATGCCTTGCTTGCTTGGTTAGACAGGCCTAGCAAGGTGCTGAGCTGTAGTAGGCGGCCTAGGATATGCAGAGGGAGGACTACCCCAGCCAGGGTTCTGTCACAGGCCATCACTACTGAGCACAACAACTGGGAGAGATTAGTGCAGCTGTGGATGTCAGTTCTCAGCCCAGGATGGGCCAGGGAGGGTGGTCTGAGGAGAGAAAAATGCCTGAGTGG